ATGATAGCTTGCTGACTTTCTAGAATGACCGACATTAGGCTGGATTTGTGGGACCTTTGATGCCAACATCCTATATGAGCGCCGGGTTCATGTCCTGGCTACTCCACTTCCAATCCGGTTTCCTACTAGTGGTCTGGAAAAGCAGACAAAGATGGCCAAGCACTTGGGCCTCTTCTACTTGTGTAGGAGATCCAGCAGAAGCTCATGGCTTCTGGCTTCAGCCTGGCCCAGCCCTTGCCATTACGGCCATCTGGGAGTGCACCAGGAAGTGGAGGGCTGATCTCTCTATGGTTCTCTAAGTCTGACTTACAAATAAATAATAAACCGAAAAAAAAAAAAATAGAAGACAGGAAAGGCGTAGACTCCACGACATAGACAACATATTTAATAGATATGCACTTACAGTAGCTTTAGACATACTTCTATAATAAAAGCAAACATCTGACAGAGAAGTATGCTTTTAATGCCCTTGAGCCCAATACCCATAGATAACTATAGTCTATTATTTTAGCATTCATACTTGAAATTCACGTGGACAAAATCAGAGTTACACTACACGAAGTTAAGCATTTTCCTGGGTGTTGCTTCAAAGATGGTTTTAAACCAAGAGTAATGGATACAAAACCTTTTCCCAGTAAGATGCACTGTACTTTAAATATTTCATTATCAACTGAGTCATTTAAGTTGCTTCCAATTTCTGAGTACTATAAATAATATTGAAATTCACATTCTTATACACTAATTTTAATGCACACTTCTTAGGTAATTTTTTATTTAAACAACATTTTTCAAAGGACATAGAATCTTTATTGATCAAAAATACTGCTAGCCTGGCTATATCACAATACCTTTGCCAATACTGTTTAATATGCTAATTTGAAAAATCATATTATCTCACTGCTTAAACGTGCATTTTTTGGGGTTAGATATAAAATTTTTTGCATCCTATACTTACTGGCCCTTTTTTGTCTTTTAATTAAAAATGACTCTATATTATTCTTTTTATGTTCTCCTGTTTTTAAAGATCACTCATCTTTATTTTACCCTAGTAGAAAGTCTGTGTTCTCAATGACTGGTCTCAGAATAGCTGAGCACAGGTGTAATGGCTAAAAACAGAAAGCAGTCTTTCAGACACTTCTTGGCATAAAACAAAATCCTCACGGGCTGGGATTATTCGGGGTTCTGGACGAGGATTTCCAAGGGCCTTATGTGCACCTTCTTCACATCTCTGAGCTTTGTAAAGGCTGCTTTCAACATACAAACACTCCTTCTTGTAAAATCTGCTCTTTATACACTCTCTTCCAAACTAAGGTGCTGACTCACGCCTCACTAAACAACAGTGAAACGGAGCCACTCACGCCTGGGTAGTGTTTTATGTATGCGCCTCTTCTCTCCTAACTAGCAAAGATGTCATAAAACCTTCCTAACGTCCAGCAGGACGGCACATGTCCTGAGGGTTTAAAAATACTGATCATAACAAATATGTAGAGCTCACTTAATCCCGATTTCGTTTTCTAGTAGAAGAAACACTGATTCGGATAAACTAAATGTCACTCCCATGGCCAAAGAGAAAGAGGACCAGAACGTGGTTTCCTGGTTACCAGTCCACTGACCAGTGACATACTCCCTGTTCTACACACACCCAGCAGCACTGCTATGCATCTAGGAAATGTTTCTTTTTCTGAATGAAAATGATTAAAGTCTGACATTTTAAAATAAACTGAAACATTAAGACTCAATTACTATTCTTTCCATAACACTCTCTGAAAAAAATCATGCAAATATTTTTATATGACAGTTGATTAAATTTTATACTTTCACTTTGGAAGCATCCACAGCAGTTTTATACATCCATTTGTATTAATGAATTTTCCCATTCATCTTATCTCCGGGCACAAATGACCTTTAGCCATTTCAAGAATTCATAGCTAACTTCAAAGCATCAAGATGTGCCACCACAGGGGCTGATGTAGCAAAGGGGGTTGGGCCACAGCTTATATCAGCCCCCACATCAGAAGCAATTCGAGTCCTCACTGCTTTGCTTCTGATCCAGCTCCCTGCCAATGTGCTTGGGAAAGCAAAAAAGAAGATGGTCCAAGAACTTGGGTCCCTGATACCCATATGGAGACCCAGTTGGAGTCTCAGGCTCCTGGCTTCGGCCTGGCCCATCCTTAGTCACTGTGGCCATCTGGGGAGTGAACTGACAGATGGAAAATCTCTAGCTGTCTCTCCCTCCCTGTCATTCTGCCTTTCAAATAAATAAGCCTTTAAAAAAAAAAAAAAAAAAAGATTTCACCATCACTTAGGATATTTAAGCCAAACATAAAATTCCAAAAGATAAGTCCCAAGTGTCCGAAGCAGTAATGACAGTGAAAGAGTAGGTCCATAACTTCCCAAGGTACTATATTTTCTTCTTTCCAAAGAGGATTTCGGATAGCTATGTCATTATTTTGAAAAACAAAAACAAAAATCTCACTTATTCACAGTTGTTAGTTTTTAAAGGATAATCATCTAACTTGGAAAACCCCCTAAAACTACATTTGGAAAGTATCTCACAGACAAGCATGTCAAATTGGATTGAGCGTTTGGAAAAATATCTTAAAGAACATCCAGAATATAAACAATGATGCCCATGAAGAGATAGTATTATAACACACTTTAGTTTTTCTTTATTTTGGCTCACTTGGACTCTTATAATCCTCCAGTGATATGGATCATTTAGAACTAAAAAACACACATACATGTATACAGATGAGACCAAACAAAAACTGTATATACATAAAGTGTTTACAATTCCAAGATCTAAGCATCAAAGACATTTGTCTGAATGTGCTTACTTTAATATGGCTCAGGAATAACAGTATACCTGCCCAGATTCAACAGGGGCAAAGTTTAAAACTATCAGGTCAGGTTTAGTTTATTTCCCTGGTCCTTCTGTGGAATTTTACATCCATACAACTCAAAGAGGAAACTTTGACCCTTCTAAGCAAGCCTCTACCTCTCAAAATGCTAAAAACCATCTCACCAGTAATGACATTGTTGCTGACCTGAGAACGGGTCACCCCACACAACTGATCAAAGCTCTCGTATGCAGTCTTCCTTTGGAGGAAACAAGGACAGCGTATGCAGATATTTCAACTAGAAATACCTCCCCAAGAGCTGATGGTCACGTGTGGACATCACCGGTTCTGACCGCACACAAAAAGGCAAAGCTAAATTATCATTGTCCCAACCCATTTCGCGCTACTTTGTGTCATTACAGAAGGAATGCCTACGTTTAGATATTGTTCCTTACAAAGACAGGATGAAGCCATCGTATCACTGGGGAAAGAGGTCAAGACAAGGTTCAAGAAACAGCTGCCTTTCTGCGCGATGAGCACGTGCACGTCTCTAGAGTCACTGTTCACTGTAACAAGTCTATTGTTTTCCTAGGCTAGGAATGTGGGGACGAAAACTACCGCTAGCAGGGCAGCTCCTGGGCTTTGGGTAAATAGATAGTAATCAAATATACCTGAATGAATATATTTGGTTTTATCATTCTGTAATACCACTCAACACATAAAAGTTCAAAATAGCTGGATAGGAGGAAGACGTGGCCTTAAGAAACAGATCAGCTGGGGCTGGGGAACCATAAAATCTGCCAACAGCCCTCCAAATGCATGAAACTTAGACTCTGTTGCCAGGGGAGGAGCTAGGAAAAGGGCGGCTGCCCCACCATGCAGGTGTTTGAGGCAGACTTATTCAGGGCTCTCTGCAAAAGGCTCCACACCCCCAGTCTGTTTCACCATCCCTAACTCTAAACTCGGGGCCCCTGTGGCAATGATGAAATTTCTGATTCAATTATCCACAAAATATTTTCTCAAGTACCAGGTTTAGAAAACCTCAAGGAAATTACCAGTTTATTCTTCCAAATGAGCACTAAGAGCTCCCCAGCCATTACAGATGCATTGTAGGGTTTTTATAGCATAAAACTCTACAGCACAGAAAGTAGCTAGATGTTGGGGAAGATGTTGCTGCTTTTAGTTGGAACTTGGTGACTATCCCAACTTTTCTGCACACTGACTCCACACAGCAATGTGGGGGCGTGGGATCAAGGCCTAGAGCTCAGAATGTTTCCTTTAAAATGAAACAAACAATAACCCTTTGCTGGGAGTAGGGGGTATAAGGGGTGGCCTAACTCCAGCTCTGAAGGCAGCCTAAGGCAGTGGCAAGATGTTTTTTTAACTTTGGCAACCCTGAAAATGAGGCTTGCTCAGACCGTCTGAACACACAGTGTACGCCAATATTATTTTACTATTCTCACTTAAAGTCGGTCACAAGTTTGTAATATTTTAAAGCTATGTATAGACTGAAGTGAAAAGGTTGGATTAATTAAATCATCACCATTCTATAATTAATACATTTGAAAGTATCAATTTTCAACTGGATGTTACCTTTGTAGCACGGGACATTAAAATCCCCCCATTCTCACCGAGTACCTTAACAGGGACAACAGGTAACAAGATCACCAGGTAAGGCAGAAGGAAGATGAAGGCGTGGAAGAAGTACCACTTCGTACAGCCCCACTGAGGCTCTGCGGTTTAGAGGCTTTATATAAAGATTCCGGATGGAGACGAAGGAAAAGGACCATTTCGTTGCTACATACCCAGAGCTGTACCCAGAACAAACACAAATTAAGATCTACAGAGGATTTTTAAATGACAAAACTAAAATAGATTCTACATAGATTCGTGCCAACAAACCCAGATTTAAGACTGTTCATTATTTTACTGCTCACAACCAGAAAGGGCCGTGGGCCTTAACGTTGGTTTAATTTGACACTAAAAGAGAGAAATCTAGAGATTGTCACTGTGATTATGTGAAAAGGAAAATGTGAATGTCTTCCATGACACCAAGGAAGTGCCCCCCCAAAGTCACAGAACATAGCTAAGTCACTGTTTCTGGAGTTAATTACCCACGAGATGCTGGGTTTCTTCTCATAGATAAAACCAGCCACGTACCTATAGATGGAGACTTGAAAGGGTATTTATCAGGAAGATCCACTCTAACTTTCCACACTCCGCCTTCATACGGTGCTGAAATAAAAGCCAACATGTTAAACACCAGAACTGAGTCCAAATCAGAAAATAAACCTCAGTGTAAGTTAAACATTAACCCTCGCCTCCTCAGATAACCTTTCAAATTGGCTCCTTCAAGAGCCAGGGACCTATTACAACCCAAAAGTACCCTACATTCAGATTAAGATATTTTTGCTTAAAAGACATGGAGTTAGAAGATAAGCCAAGGTTCATTCTCTCTCCCAAATTTACTTGTTTAGTATTAAACATTATTGTCCTTTTCTCTTCTATCTTAAAAACAAAAAAACAAAGAAACAAAAAAACAAAAACAAACCTTCATGCCTCCCTCCAAATGAAAACAAAAAACATTTCCCAGAAACCACCCATAAACCAAACCAGAATCCACAATTCATGTCTAATAGTATCACATAAAGATGTTTAAAAGTCGACTGTAAAAAGTCAATGTTTAGAGACAACTGTAGCAGAGGAACACATACCAATACGTGTACTTACTTCCTTGTGGTCCATAAAACTTCACTACAAACTCATTGAGTCCTCCCAGGATCGTAACCTCGTGTTTACTCTCAATGCTAAGGTGAACAGTGAAGGAAATTACACAGGCTTTACAACACCTGGAAGAAAACTGATGACATCCCATCCCCCAAGATACACCATTTAAAAGGTAGCCAAAATTGACAGTTATCAAACATAAAATATATAATAATTCCATAGTTTAAGATGCAACAAGTACTCTTAAGAGTGAGTAAACTTTGGATTCAGAGGGGCTAGGGCTCAAATTCAAGGACTGCCACATACTGGATTTGAGAGTCTAGAAGAAATAACATACATTCATTCCCCAAGTCTTCGTGCTTTCTCTGCAAACTGGGGACCACCACTTCCTAGAATTCCGAGAAATAAATGGGCTAACTATGTAAAATCTGTAAGACTACATTTTACCTACAGGGACATGAAAAGCGGGAACTTACTTGTAGCTGCTCTCCTCCATACTCTCCTTCCCAACCTACCCCCAACTGAGCCTTTAACATAAATCCAATCCAGTATTCCCTGTATCTAAGCTCAAATACCTCACCAGACACTGATTCGCTTCAACTGGAATGTTGCACTCCCACATGATGAACCTGCCAGGCCCTCACAACGCTCTCCTCTGCTGCACAATTCAGACTAGCTAGTGATGCACCCGTGCTGGAAGCAGTACTGCCAAAGGCAAACGACCACCCCAAGTTCTTCTGAAAAAACCTAATGCTCTTTTGTGGCACTTCCCATGTGCCTCTAGGCTGTGCTTCACTCCAGAGCTCTAAGCAAAGAGGGGTACTACTTCTGTGTGGTCTTCCTCAAAAGCCCGCCTGCCCTCAAGACTTCCTTCCCTTAGAAAGTACTAAGATTCACAAGTACTAGTACCTTAGAAAGCACTAAGATTCAATTACAGAAACCAAATCTATCCTTTTCAGAAGAGAGGGTTACCGGCCTAAGATCTGTTCTATATTTCTGCTTATGGTACCACCAAATAATAACTATTGACAGGATTTTTAATTTGAGAGGCAGTGAGAGACAGAGAGCCGCCAATCTATTGGCTCATTCCCCAAGTGGCCCACAATGAAGGGCGCAGAAGTGGGAGCCAGAAACACATCCCAGGTCTTCCACGTGGATGGCAGCAACTCAAGGACTTGAAGTCACTACTGCTGTCCCCCAGGGTCTGCACTGGCAGCCAGCTGCAATCAGGAGCCAGAGCAAGGGCATCGAATCTAAGCACTTGGATGAGGGAGCAGGTGTCCTAATCACTGAGCTACACACAGCTCCTACCGAAAGGAGTTTTAGATGGTAGGGGCTTTGGAGGTCTTAAAACTCACTAAAACATTAGAAACAAAAAGCACATCTTTTTCAATCAGGAATGCAAATTACATTTTAATTGCATGTACTTTTATATAGAACAGAAAAACAAATTTTAAAAAAAATTTTTTTAAAGATTTCTTTATTTAGAAGTCAGAGTTGCAGAGACAAAGGGAGAGAGAGAGTTATCTTCTTTGAACTACTAGTTCACTCCCCACATGGCCACAAGGATCAGGGCTGAGCCAGGCAGGAGCCAGGAGATGGGACTTCCACATGGGTGGCAAGGGCCCAAATACTTGGGCCATCTGCTGTTGCTTTTATCAGGATCAGAAGTGGAGCAGCCAGAACACGAACTGGTGCCTGTATGGGATCTCAGTGTCGCAGGCGGAGGCTCTACCTGCCCCACCACAATGCCGGCACCATTTAAGAAATTTTAAAATGATCTCTTGGGCCCATGCTGTGGTGTGGCGGGTAAAGCTACCACCTGCAACGCTGGCATCCCATATGGGCATGTCCCAACTGTTCCACTTTCCATCCAGCTCCCTGCTAATGTGCCTGGGAAAGCAGCAGGGGATGGCCCAAGGCCCTGCACCCATGTGGGAGACTGCGAAGCAGCTCCTTGTTTCAGTCTGACCCAGCCCTGACCATTGCGGCCATTTGGGGAGTGAACCAACGGACAGAAAATTACTCTTACTCTCTAATTCTGCCTTTCCAAAAAATAATCTTTTAAAAAATGTCTTTTAAATAGAGGAAAAAAATCATTCTTAAAGCTTTGAAACTGGACATTTTATTCTCTCTAAATCTGTTCCCTGCAGGCCACAAAAAACACTACATGAGGCTAGATACATTTTTGGCAAAGTCCTTGCTCAATAGCCTTGAGTGGTATCCACAAATAAGATAATTTAGTGCAGGCTAATTTGAGCGCATTCTTTTCTAAATGAAAATTATCTACTTTAATTATCTACTTTAATAACAAGTGCAATAAAAGGACCCAAGTAGTATTCACATAGGAAATTTTTTACTTGGTCAAATCTCTCTCTCTCTCTCTCACACACACACACACACACACACTTACTAAACTCTCCCTGATCCATCCAACAGCGACCCTCCCACCTCCTGCAAAATGTTCCCAAGTTAATGCTAATGTAACTTAAAAAAAACTATGCCATGCTTAACTTTTTAAAAAAGCCTTCTTATGTGAGTGGGGGGGGGGGGGGGAGGTCAAATCCAGTTGTAATAAACAAAATTAAATACAAACAATAAAACTGTTGAAAGCAGACTTTTCTGTAGAGGAGGCTTTCCTTAGAATGACTGCAAGCCAGAAACCATGAAGGAAAAGACTAGCAAGTGTAGGTACACACACATTTAACACATCCATCTTGTAAAACATAAAGGGCAAAACTAGGCAAAAACTACAGTAAATGTCAAAAAATGTGAATTTTAAGGAGTTATTACAAAGCAATTAGGAAAATAATACAAACAGCCCAACAAAGTCTAACCAGCCAAGAAGACTGACACACACTATTTCAATCTCTCTGATCTTAAAAAACAAAAGACTTTCCTCTGTCTCTGTCTCTCACTGTCTGTAACTCTAACTCTCAAATAAAATAAAATATTTTTTTAAAAAAGACAATTGAAATAGACAAAATTAAATAATAAAGGCAGAGTTACAGAAAAAGAAAGAGACAGGTCTTCCATCAGATCTGCTGGTTCACTCCCCAAATAGCTGCAAAGGCCAGGACAAAGCCATCTGGGTTTCCCATGTAGGTGGAGGGGCCAAGCACTCAGGCGCATTAGCAGGGATCTGTATTGGAAGCGGAGCTGCTGGGATCAGAACCAGTGCCCATAAGGGATGCTGGCATCACAGGTGGCAGCCTAACCAGCCATGCCACAGTGCTGACTCCTATAGATGTCTGTTTTACCCTTTACTTGATGTGATAAACTAAGTTTCTTCTGGGATTTAGTCTACACTTAGGTCTACTTTACCAAGAAGATTCTTGGGGCTTGTGTTGTGGTACAGCAGGAATGCCCCACTTGTGACACCTGCTTCCCAGATAGGAATGCCTGGTTCTAGTTCCAGCTACTGGACTTTTGACCCAGCTTCCTGCCAATGTACCTGGGAATTAGTGGATGATGACCCAAGTACTTGTGGTCTTTGGCTCCTGGGTTGGTCTGGCCCAGCCCTGGCTGACGTGGGCCTTTGGGGAGTGAACCAGAGGATGGAAAATCTCTCCTCTGTCTCTCCCTCTCTGTCACTCTGCCTTTCAAATAAATGTTTAAAAAGAAGAGAAGGTTCTCCTTTCCTAAATCCTATTAGCAATGAGATCAGAAATCAATGTTCCTCTTTCGCCATGATCCCTGGTACAACCCACTGGCCAGATACAAAGGGTGTGTCTTTAATTACACAACACACCACAAATTAAAGGGTTCAGATAGTCCATTTCATATGAAAAGCTAAAAGCAAACTGAATGAAACTTTTAAAACTTCCACCAAGTTGGTAAGATGAGAAGCTGTGCTAAATTTATGCTGCCTTGGCATGGTAGAGACACAAAGTCAGATGGGAAAAAAGCATTTAGGTTTAGTCAAAAGAAAAACACTGCATTAAAAATAAGCCATTCCATCACCACTGAATGAATGACTTGCCACAAGAACATATAAAATTACTTGACTGCTACGACCACGGGTATTTATGGTGGAGGCCACGAGTTTCTTCCCCTCCCTGCTGCAAAGCCAAGGGCAAGGCAGGTTAAAATGACAGAACTCTGCGAAGCACCGGCCAGGCTGGTAGACTGGTGGGAACTCACTCACAGGGTCCTTTACTGTCTGTTTCAAAGCTTAAAAACATAAAACATCTTTTATAAACTGTTCTCCTGAAGTTTTGTTAAAGAATTCCATATGTCATCACATCTTCCTCCAAGTTATTCACAAAATACTGTTTTTTTTTTTTTTTTTAAATATACTTAGCACTTTACCAGTAAGGAGTACCACTATTTTTGGGAAAATAATGATTAACATCCCTAGGAACCCACGTCCATTCCACTTTTAAAATGCCAGCCACCCACCACTTTATTTTCCCTGAATGGCAACACAATTACACATCTAATATTTAAAGAGAAATGCCAAACTGTCAAGGGATAATTGACACTCTTGGTAAATGTGTCTGTCGGATTTTAGAAGTGATCTTTCTATGGCTGTGAAATTTTCAAAACCATAAAGGAGCCCAGGTTACGTCCGTGAAGCAGGACATGAACAGGTCAAGGACCTAGGACTCAGACACCCTTGAGTCCTCAGTTTCCTGATAACGAGTTTATCAAATAAGAGGGTGACCTCCTTGAGCTGTGTCTAAGAGAGTGGGGACTGGGACGAGGACCGTGCGTGCACTCAGAAGGCAGAATGAAGTTGTCTGCTGTCCTCCTTCTAGTCCTTTCCAATTCGCCTTGAAATTAAGCACACCAGGGAAACTGAAGAAATACAGCAGCTTTCACTACCTACTCTTCTTGGCTAAAAAATGGTGTGCTGGGAGGGTACTATGGTGTGGTGGGTTAAACCATCAGCCCGCATCCCATTTGGTAGTGCTGGTTCAAGTCCCTGCCATTCCTTCCGATCCATCTTCTCGCTCATGTGCCAAGGAAGCAGTAGACGATGGCGCCAAGTACCTGAGTCCCTGCTACCCGCAAGGGAGACCTGGATGGGGTTCCCGACTTCAGCCTGGCCCAGCCCTGGCTACTGCAGCTATTTGGG